TCGAAATTCCAACAGTATTTTAAAAAGAAGTAATTGGCAAGCTAATTTTAAATTCTACATGGAAATTCAAAGGACCTAGGATAGCCAGAAAAAAAGAAAGAGAACTTATACTACTTTGTCTGAAAATTTACTATAAAGCTATAATTATCTGGTCAGTCTGGTACTGGTGTAAGGCTAGGCATGTAGGTCAATGGAACAAAATTGATATACAGAAATAAACTCTTATGGTCAATTGAATTTCCAGCAAAGCTGCCAAGGCAGTTTAGTGGGAGGAAAGGATAGTCTTTTCAACAAATGATGCTGGTATAATTATATACTTACATGCAAAATGATATATTCAGATCCTTCCTCATGCTATACACACAAAAAATAGCTCAAAGTGGATCATAGGCCTAAATATAAGAGTTAAAATTACAAAACTTCTGGAAGAAAACATAGGGAAAAAGTCCTCATGACCTTGTAGTTCTTAGATATGACACCAGAAGCATACTCCGTCAAAAACGTAGAATTTGATGTTATCAAAAGTAAAAACTTTTTCCTTTCAAAAAAAAAGAGAAACTATTAAGAAAATGAAAAGACTAGCTACAGATTGGGAGAAAACATTTGTAAATCATATATTTGATAAAAGCCTTGCATTCAGAATATATAAAGAACTTAAAACTCAACAAAAAGAAGACAAACCTAATATTAAAAATGGAATAGATATTACACCAACTAAAGTATATGTAGGGACTTCCCTGGTCATCCAGTGGTTAAGACTCTGCACCCCCAGTGCAGGGGACACAGGTTCAATCCCTGGTCAGGGAACTAATATCCCACACGCCGTGTGGTGCGGCCAACAGATTAAAAAAAAAAAAAAAGTATGCAAATAATAAACACATGAAAATATTATTGACATTATAAATGATTAGGAAAATACAAATTAAAACCAAATGATATACCTCTTTCCACAACAACTAGAATGGCTATGACTTAAAAAGACAGGGATTTCCCTGGTGGTGCAGTGGGTTAAGAATCTGCCTGCCAATGTAGGGGACACGGGTTTGAGCCCTGGTCTGGGAAGATCCCACATGCCGCAGAGCAACGAAGCCTGTGCACTACAGCTACTGAGCCCAAGTGCCACAACTACTGAAGCCCACGTGCCTAGAGCCCGTGCTCCGCAACAAGAGAAGCCACTGCAATGAGAAGCCCACGCACTGCAATGAAGAGTAGCCCCCACTCGCTGCAACTAGAGAAAGCCCGCACGCAGCTACAAAGACCGAATGCAGCCAAAGAATAAATAAATAAATTTATAAAATAAAAAGACAATATGAGTGTTATAAAGATACAGAGAAACGCAAACCTTCATACATTGCTGGTGGGAATGTAAAATGTCACAGCCTCTTTTGAAGAAAACTTGATGTTTCTTAAAAAGTTAAATATATACCAAATATTTAGATGTTTAATATTATCCATCATTTGCAATCTCTTTCCAAAAATATAAGAGAAGGGAACATATTCCAATTCATTCTATGAGGCCAGTATTACCTTGATACCAAACTAGACAAGACCGTTACAAGAAAATAAAACTGTAGGCCAATTGCTCTTATAAATCTAGATCTAAAATCCTCAACAAAATACTAGCAAACTGAATCCTGCAACATATAAAAAGAATTATATACAAGTGGAATTATCCCAAGAGTACAAGACTCATTTAACATCTGAAAATCAAAAATTAATATATGATATTAATAGAGTGAAAGACAAAAACCACATGATCGTCTCAAATGCAGAAAAAGCATTTGGCAAGATCCAATGCTTTTTGGTGAGAAAAACACTCAAAATCTAGAAATAGGAAGGAAAAGTCTTCAACTTGATAAAAGGCATCTACAAAGACCCCTCATTTAATGCCATACTTAATGATAAAAGACAATGCTTTTCTCTTAAAATCAGGAGCGAGAAAAGAATATCTACTCTCTCCAGTTTTACTTAACAATGCATAGCTGGGGCAGTTGTGCAAGAAAAAGAAAAGGCATCCAGATTGGAAAGGAAGGAAAATTATCTCTATTCATAGAAGACATGATCTTGTATGTAGAAAATTCTAAGAAAACCACTAAAGACTTACAAACAATGATTTCAGCAAAGTTATAAAGTACAAGGTTAATACTTAAAAATCCACTATATTTCTATACAGAAGAAATGCCAAATTCAAAAATGAAATTAAGAAAATTCCATTTACAATAGCATCAAAAAGAATAAAATGCTTAGGGATAAGCCTAATAAATGAAATACAAGACTTGTACATTGAAAACTACAAAACTTCAATGAAAGAAATTAAAGAATATATAAATAAATAGAAAAACACTCCATGTTCTTGGAATGGAAGATCGTTGTGAAGATGACAGTACTCTCCAATCAATCCACAGATTCAATGCAATCCCTATCAAGATGCCACAGGCTTTTTTTTTCTTTTTGCAAAACTTGACAATTCTGATCCTAAAATTCATGTGGAAATGCAAGGAACTCACAATAGCCAAAATAATCTTAAAAAAGAGAACAAAGTTGGAGACTCACACTTCTCAATGTCATAACATACTAGAAAGCTATAGTAATCAAGACAGTGTGGCATTGGCATAAGGATAGATACATATATCAATGGAAAGGAGTTGACCGTCCAGAAACAAACCCTTACATTTATAGTTAATTAGTTTTTGACAAGGGTACAACACGGTTCAATGGAGAAAGTACTTCTTTTTTTAACGAATGGTGCTAGGACAACTGGATTCCACATGCAAAAGAATGAGGTTGGACCCCCCCACCTCACACCGTATATAACTGAAAATAGACCATAGACATAAATGTAAAAGCTACATTTTTAGAAGAAACAAAGGAATAAATCTTCATGACCATGGGCTAGGCAACAGTTCCTTAGATATGGCACCAAAAGCACAAGCAACAAAAGTAAAAATAGATAAATTGGACTTCATCATTTTGTGTGATAAATGATGACTTTATTGATCACTTTGTTCTTCAAATGATATCATCAAGAAAGTGAAAAGACAGCCCATAGAATAGGAGAAAATATTTGCTAAGCATGTATCTGATAAGACACTTGTACACAGAATACATAAGGAACTCTTACAACTCAACAATAAAAGACAAATAAGTCAATTGTAAAATGGCAAAGGATTTGAATATACATTTCTCCAAAGAAGATATACAAATGGCCAATAAGCGCGTGAAAAGATGCGTGGCATCATTAATCATTAGGGAAATACAAACCAAAACCACAATGGGATACTACTTCATAGTCACTAGAATGTCTCATATCAGAGTGACAGATGCTAACAATGTTGGCAAAGATGTGGAGAAATTGGAACTCTCATGTATTAATGGAGGGAATGTGAAATGATGCTGCCATTTAGGAAAGATTTTGACAGTTCCTCAAAAATAGAGTTACCATGTAGCTCCGATGCATAATGCCATGAATCGCTTCAGTGAAAAGTAAACTATTCCTGATTCGCATTATACCTCCAATCATCTGTCTAAACTTTAAAATAGTGACAATAACAAGTGTTGGCAGAAACATGAAGTAACTCTTACAGGCAGTAGTTGGTACAACTGCCTTGCAGTACTCTTTTGTTTTTTTTAACATTTTGTGAGAATTTGTTTTTATTTTTATTCTTTTTTTTTTTTTTTTTGCGGTACGCGGGCCTCTCACTGTTGCGGCCTGTCCCGTTGCGGAGCACAGGCTCTGGACGCACAGGCTCAGCAGCCATGGCTCACGGACCCAGCCGCTCCGTGGCATGTGGGATCCTCCCGGACCGGGGCACGAACCCGTGTCCCCTGCATCGGCAGGTGGACCACCAGGGAAGCCCCTATTTTTATTCTTTAAATATTTTGTTTATTTACTTATTTGGTTGCACCAGGTCTTAGTTGCAGCAGGTCGGCTCCTTAGTTGCAGCTCACTGGCTCCTTAGTTGCGGCAGATGGGCTCCTTAGTTGTGGCATGTGAACTCTTAGTTGTGGCATGCATGTGGGATCTAGTTCCCTGACCAGGGATCGAACCTGGACCCTCTGTATTGGGAGTGCAGAGTCTTATCCATTGCGCCAGCAGGGAAGTCCCCAGTACTCTGTTATATACTAGTACTAAATATATGTAAAGCCTGTGACCTAGCAACTCTGCTCTTTGTTATGTATATGTACAGAAGATTTAGTGATTATGTCAGGGAAAAGATAGGTAAAAGAATGTTCGTAGCAGCAGTACTTCAAAAAGCGTCAAACTTCTAGATATAACACAAATGTCCATCAGTTGTAAATTTGATAGATAATTTGTGTTATGGTAATACAGTGGGATACTAGGCAAAACACTTATGGTGATAGATGTCAAAATGTTGGTCCCCTTGTGGGTCTGGGGGCCTGTTGGGGTGCTGGAAATGTTCTATATCTTGATCTGGGTGGTGGTGAAACGTGTATGTATGTGCGTGTGTGTATATAAACACACGTATGTGTGTGTGCGTGTGTGTGCACACATGCTTAAAATTTTTTTCTGAGCTGTGAATGTATTTATATATTTTACTGTATGCATTTCATAACATAGTAATAAAATGTGAGAATAGATTTATGTATGTGTTTCATTTTGGAAACATAAACACAGATGCACAGCCTAGAAACTTATGAAAATCCTTCTGAAGAACAAAGTTGAAGAGACAGGGAAGGAAATGGAACTTCCCTGAGTTTGTCTTTTCATGTAGTTTTAATTTTTGAATAACATTGATGTTTTAAGTATTCAAACAATAAAATTACATCAGTAAGGATGGAAACAGTTTTTAGGAGATAGTAGCAGAAACAGAGGTGTTGTTGAGTAATTTCATCTTCTGGTTTGCAGCTTCCAGCCTCCCTTGGCATTGGTTTGGGGTCATATGACTAATACTGGCCAAAAAGCTTTAAGAAGAAGCCTTTGGGCTAGAACAGAAGAGGTGATTTTATTCCTCCATGTGTTCTCTTCCTTTGTTTGGCAGTCATAGAGGTCACATGCTGACAGCATGGAGCCAGAGGACGGATTCATCCCTGTATCTCTGAGTCACCAAGTGGAGCACAGCTGCCCTGAACTTGTGTTTCGAGAGTGAGAGTGAGTCTCGGCTTTCATGTGGGGACTTGCTTGTTGCCTCGGCATAGCCTAGAGAAGATGTAAAATTGAGATGATTTGTTGAGAGTGAGGAGATATAGTGGCTATTTTAGGGACGTTGGGGAGAGTGAGATAAAGGTTTTCTATACTCTTCAGAAGAGTCAGAATAGAACATTTATAGACGGTTAGAGCTGGAAGAAAACTAGAGACATTATCCTTTTCTTTTCATTTTAAAGACAAAGAAACTAGGACCAGAGGGACTAATGATTTTGTCACCATCACATAACAGGTTAGTGGTGGAGACAGGATTACAACCCTCATTTCTGAGACCTTGAGAATAGTCTCAGGGTTAGGCTACAACTACTTTACAGAGCAGCTAAACATTTGCTTTAGGATATCGTGAACTTCACTTCCCTGGTGAAGGTTCTAGATGGCAATAGAAGTTATCTGAGCCCCTGTCAATTGTTTGCCCCCAACTATGAAGTCACAACAGAGCCCCCCTTTCATTTCCACTTAACTGCCCTTCCACCTAGGCAGTCCACTATGGGTGACTTGGGAAAATCAGGAAATATGCTTCACAAGAAATGGCACTTGTACTTTTTACCCTTTACCTCTTATTGTTTGGATTATTTTTTGTGATTTGAATCACTTGTGTAAACAAAGTAGACACAAAAGTAAAACGTCCTTGTTGAGAGTTTTGCTCCTCCATCTTTGATGTTTTCTGGGTGGACAGGCCCTTTCTCCCCATTTGTAAGAGGAAGAATAAGAAATGCTGTGGCATGGTTGGAACGAATGTCTAGAGGGCCCAGGTTATTTTGTTACAAATGTATTCTTTTGACTATAAAATCTCTTTCTGCTTCAGCAGTGCTCAAGAGTGGGTGACCAGCCATAAGCCTCCCTTACCCTCCATAATTTCTATCTTTGATTCAGTAACTTCCCTCTTGTATCTTTCTCAGGCTCATATCCTGACTGCCCACCTCCCACCTCCATTTCTGAGCTGTGGGCATCACTAATGTGGACACTTCCTCACCTTTCTTTTCTACACTCTGACCCTGGGGATTAAAGGAGGTCATTGTCACATCATCATTGGCCAGCCAATCAGGTGGGCACCTCCCTCCAAGGACCTCCTTGTGCCAGAGGAGTTCTCAGCCTGCTTCCGTGGAAGGAGGGAGCCACGAAGGAGGCCTGGTGTAAGTCCAAAGATGATAATTACAACATGGATTGTGTACATTCTCGCCCGGAAAGGTGTCGGGTTCCCCTTCCCACCGAAAGTCAGTTCGGTAAGTGGGGCTGGTGGTAGCCACGTGGAAAGTGTGTCAGGTATCGTTTCCCCTCTGAGCCCCTGCTGCACTTCTGGAGAGAAGATCTCACAGTGCTAACTGTGAATAATGGAGGAGGGGCTGGGTCTCTCTGTATTCTGAGGACATCGACTTACCACTTTGTTGCAGGACGTGGAAGTTGTGGAGAGCGAGGCTGTGTCTGTAGTACAGCACTGGTTGAAAAAGGTGAGTGAGATTCCTCTGGGACTCAGGGTACCACAGATTGTAGAGGGCTGGCCTCAGTGGGTGCAGGGAGCTGTACGTCCCTCCCCCTACAACCAGGAAACCCAAGCTCATTGCCCACCAGCCTGCCTAGAGCCGTGTCTGATCCACCACATGTCCGGAAGGACCCGGGCTGTCCCCTCGCCAGAGACGGGCTGGCGTCACCACCAGCCCCGCCCTGCTTCTCAGGCGCACGGGAGGGGAGGGGGTTTCAGATGCGTGGCCCCACTGCAGGGTGTCTCAGGAGGACCTTGGGCCCATGACTTACTGAGTCCCTGGAATTCCACAGGAAGGTAGCAGTAGACGAGCTAATTGCAGGAACTGTGCGATACAGCGTGTTTGTGTGGGCACGCATGTGTGTGTTGTGATGGGGAAGAAGAAACGGGAAAAGGAAGAGGAGGGAGAATAGGGGCCAGATAGAGTGACACTTTCTGAGGGAAATTGCTTGTCTTTCAGACTGAAGAAGAGGCTTCCCAGGACATAAAGGAGAAGATGTCCACCAACTGCCCTCCCACGCATGGCCAAGATGTACATGTGACCAGAGACGAGGTAATGGAACCTTTGAGCCGCCCATCCTGGGGAGGGGGCAAGGGGAGGGGAAGGGGGAGGTGGGTCCTACTGCAAAGGGTCCTGGGCAAGTGGGCAGAGCTTGTCCAGGCTGGGCTCCACCCTGGCCGTGGGGTCCTTGCTGGGCAGTAACCACTGGACTCCACCCGGATTTCCTAGGTGAAGCACCACCTCTCAAAGTCTGGTTTGTTAACAAACCAGAGTCAGGAGGTCCTGGAGGAAAGAACAAGAATCCAGTTCATAAGATGGAGGTAAAGCATCTCATCTGCCCCAAGCTAGGCATGCTGTGGGGAGGGGGAAGCAGAGAAAGCACAAGCCCCCCTCTTTGGGATTACTGGCCAACACAAACCCTCGGCCCTCCTTCTCTAGAGACGTTGACTCCTTTGAGTTTTTCAGCCTTACTTTGGGGTCTCTTTTTTTTTTTGTATGCGTTGAATCTTCGTTGCGGTGTGCGGGCTTCTCATTTCTCATTGCGGTGGCTTCTCTTGTTGCGGAGCACGGGCTCTAGGCATGGAGGCTTCAGTTGTTGTGGCACCCAGGCTCAGTAGTTACGGCTCGCAGGCTCTAGAGCGCAGGCTCAGTAGTTGTGGCACATGGGTTCAGTTGCTCCGCGGCATGTGGGATCTTCCCAGACCAGGGCTCGAACCCGCGCTGCCAGGGAAGCCCTTGCTTTGGGGTCTTAAGGGAGTATTTTTGCTATTTTGAAAGCCCAGCTCATTGCTAAATTTTAAAATGACTAGAGGGGTTGGAAAACTGGGCTTGCTTACCATTTCTTAAATGCTTCTGAATAAATTTCATATTTCTGTTGTTTTTGCACTTGATTTGTCCAGAAGTGGCTGCACTTTAAAGAGACCTACTAGAGAATGGACTTGAGGATGTGGGGAAGGGGAAGGGTAGGCTGTGACAAAGTGAGAGAGTGGCATGGACATATATACACTACCAAATGTAGAATAGATAGCTAGTGGGAAGCAGCCGCATAGCACAGGGAGATCAGCTCGGTGCTTTGTGACCACCTAGAGGGGTGGGATAGGGAGGGTGGGAGGGAGGGAGACGCAAGAGGGAAGAGATATGGGAACATATGTATATGTATAACTGATTCACTTTGTTATAAAGCAGAAACTAACACACCATTGTAAAGCAATTATCCTCCAATAAAGATGTTAAAAAAAAAAAAAAGAAAATAGGCTCATAAAGTGCAAAAGCCAAAGCCCTCGTCTTGGGCGGAGGTGAGAGGAGGTTTCTCAGCCCTGAGGCTAGAATTCTGTGCTCCACAGTAGCTGCTTTGTCAGCCCCAGCCTGCACAGACCATCTACACTGCCACCACCTCTCCTGGCTCTGAAGAGCAAGACTCCAGGCAGGGGAGCTGGGCCTGGAACCTGGCTCACTGCCTTGGCACACGCTTCCCTGCCTCCTTCTGGGATGGTCTCTTTTCCCAGTAGAGTCATTGTGGGATTCCACTGGGCTTCCCCCCGCTGTGAAGGAGCCCCCTCTCATCTCTGGACTTGACTTCCTTTCTGTGCCCCCATCGCCAGCTTTGCTGTCTCCTATCAAGGAAGATATGTTTCTCAAGAAATTTGTTTTTGCTTCAAGATGTACAGTTTTCCTGTGTTTACCCCTTCCAGTGGCATTAGCATTTTAAAAGAGGATTCAAATGCTCAAGAATTGCATAAGAGGAATGGTCTAATTTGAGGCCTCCCTGGGAAAGGGTCTTTTTGGATGGAAGCCGGCCAAGGTCGCCCAAATCATGAACATTGGTGACTGTCCCCCATCCACCGCCCTGCATGTGGGAGGCTTGTCCTCCCCTGACCTGGCCATGCTACCAGCTCTAGCTGTTGCAGTTCCTTGGTTTGGACAATCTGAACGTCATCCTCTGGTATTTTTTAGAGCTTGGCTGTGTAGCGTAAGTAGGTTACAGCTTTGGAGACACGGGACAGAAATCAGTCAATTTTCTACATACAAGTTCTCCACTCTGGGTATTCTGTGGAGATTTTAGACCAATAAACTCAGCCTGCTTCTCCCTCCAATCCACTGATTTTGGTATCCTCCTATTAGTTTCATTAAGTACGTAGTCAGAGTTGCATATCCCTTTATTAAGCACCACTGAATGCTCATTTATATGGTAGATGTGTACTGGCCACCTGATGTTTGCTAGGGCCTCTGGAAGAGAGAACAACATAAACCAAGTTCCCCATTTGAAAGGATACAAGTGACCTGGGTGGAGAAGCATGTGAGCACTGAAGGACATGTTGGGGACACCAGTAGGAGGGCACAGTAGGGGGCCGGGCTGCACAGGTTCTCGGCTTTGCTGCCTAGGCTTCAGAAGGGTTCCTAGCAGGACGTTCACCTGGGCTGACCCGTGTCTGGGCAGGGACTGGACACACAGGAGCCCGAGCCAGGTAGGGCCTTCCACACGGGCAGGAGCCTGGCACCTTGGCCAACCTCGTCCAGCCTCTGTGTCCCCTTCTTCTCGGAGGCATCCCCCTGTCCCCTCAGGCCCTCTGTCCTTTCTTCTCTCTCTCTTTGGGCACTGACCAGCTCCATTTTATATGAGCCATATTCCGGAGCACGTTTGGGCTGCGGGTCCTCATAGGCGGTATCAAAGCTGAACTCACAGGGAAAACCCCAAAGCACCTAGAGCAAGGCATTACCCAGAAGGCACTGTCAAGCATGGGGTGGTCCAGTGGGCACAAGAATGGTGGTCCAGTGGGCAGGCTGCTTTTCCTGGAGTGGAGGGTTTGTGAGGGTTTGTTGGGGTGTGGAGTTGGGAACGGCATGAAGTGGACTGTGGTGAGGAAGGCAAGTCCAGAACAGTGAAATAAAACAAAAACAGCAGCAAAGAGGAGCCTGCAGCTTCTTTGTGACAGAATGTTCTAGAAGGATCTCTAAACCATAGTGACTGTGGCACAATGCTGTTGATAGAGAGCTGGTGACGAAGCTGGAGAGGAATTCAGACTCCCTCTGTAACTCTAGCAAAGGCTCATAACCTCTCCGTCTCCTTGACTCTCCTTAGGACCATTTGCTACCTGCCCAGGATCATTGGGGGGCTCAGGGGTACTTGGTTAGTAAAAAGAATGCTTTGTGTTACTGATACAAGGAGGGTGAAGGTGCAGCTCAAAAGCTCATGGTGACAGGGTCAGAGCTATGGTCCCCCGTGATTCCAACCCTGGAGGTTCCACGGTGACTGGTTAGAAGAGAAGGAACCTGGGAACCCCAACGTCTGATGGTGTTTTGCAGCCATACCCGTATCTTCCAAGTGCCAAGCGAGGTGAGAAATGATGCCATGCGAGAACGGATAGAGCAGGTGAGACGAAGGTAAGCGTTTGAGAGGAGTTGATTCGTGTCCTAACTGGGGGCAGGTGGGTGGAGTGCTGCTGGCCTCTCCGTGGGTCTCCCTTAGCTCCAGCCCTGGGCCCGGCCAAGCCAGGGGCCCTTCTGGGCTGAGCGCCTCTTCCCAGGACTCAGCTCCTGGGCCTAGGCTCGGGCTGCTGGCCCACCCGGCCCTGTGCGACGGTCTGGGTCTGTGCTCTCGGGGGAGCTCTGCCGCCCTGTGGTCTCCCCACTGCCTCTCCTCTCCTCTCCTCTGTCCCCTGCAGCATATGCCATCTTACGAATGAGGCATCTCAGGAGCTTCACAAGAGCAATTCCTACTCAGACTGCTGAGAGCAGCAGGTGAGAGGGCTGACAGGTGAGGGGCCGGGCCAGAGGACGGCCTCCCTGGGCAGGGAGCCGGCGCACTGGGTGGCGCTTGAGAATACCAGTGAGGGGCCTGCACCTGGGCCACTGGGGGTCGGGGAGCAGGCAGCTGCCTGAGGCTCCTGCCACGCCTCTTAGATTTCCAGAAGGACTTGGAGTCAAGGTCAGGTTTGCGTCTCTGAGTCTTCACTGTGGGGTCGCAGACCAGTGCTTCTCAGTTGTCCACGGGCCCCGGGGTCTCAGGGGCCGGGCGGTCGAGGCTGTGGTGGGACCTGCAGCTCTGGTCTGGGTGTAGCTGCTGCTGGTCTGCTGACCCCTCTCTGAGTCACAGGGTCACACAGCACTGGGGTGGGAGGGAGGGTGCACAGGTTTTGGCCCAGCCCCCGATCAGGGCCGTGACCTTGGGCCGTGTGGCCTCTCGGCCCGCACACGGCACCAGCGGTCATGGCAGCGGCTGTTGGTGCTGCTCTGGAAGGTGGCATGCCAAGGCCAGGAGTTGCCTCTCCAGGAGGTACCTGTCCGGGAAGGGTTGCTGCACCCCTGCCACGCAGTAGAGACCATGCTGACCCTCGTGGCGGCTGATGGGGGGCCACCAGCATGCTTAGAGGAGGGCCGTGGAGGGGTATGCTAGCAGTTATTGAGCGCCTACTGTATGCCAGCTCTGCACAAGACACTTTGCCCAGGTTTCTCATCTGACCCAAATGACTGTAAGAGGAGGGTGTGGTGGTGCAGCTGTACTCACAGTAGAGGTTAGGCCACCCTGGGGAGCAGGTGATGGCTTTCTTCCAGCTCCAGCGTGGGCCATTGCTTCATGCCCTGGTGCCTGTTTCCTGACTTCAGGATGTTGCCTTGTGGACCATGGGGTCCAGCATGTGGCAAGCGCCATGTCAGTGGTTTGCTAACGTCAGCAGGGACGAGGAGTCGGGGGTGCCTGCTGGCACCCCTGTGTTTGAAGGTGCAGAGCCAGGCTCCCGCACCAGCTCTGCCTGACACCACCCCTCCTCCTCGTGGGTCTTCCCACTCCTGCATCCTGCTCTGAATGTCGAGAGCAGCGGGCTTAAGGAGGCATTGCCAGTCCTGCCTGTCAGCCTTCGCACATTTCCGTGATGCGCCCCTGGGCATTTCCCTGCCTCCCAGGTTGATGCCCTTCAGGGTCAAGGAGCTGCCTGTGTCGGAAGGATGTCCAACCCCCCTTGACCTGAGGAGCGACCACACCTGGGCAGAAAGAATCCAGTGGGTGAGCCCTTCCTTGTGACAGTGGCAGCACTGGAGTCTTCTTGCTGAACTGCTGATAAAGAGATGCACTATTTAACCACCATCCCAGCCTCTGGTGTGAGTGCTTTGCCATCATTCATTCATTGGACCCTGAGCACGTCACGGGCTTGCCTCTGGGGACACAGGCTCTCAGCCTTGCGGGGAGACAGCTGACAGGCCCCTACCATTGTGTGAAGCAGGCTAGCTGGGGCTCCTGGGGTGTTAGGGGCAGGGCTGTGCTGGGGCAGGAGGACTTCCTGGGGAAGGTGTGGCATGTCTATTTCACTCAAGTATTTTATGTTCATTTACTCCTCCTCTAGAGCACTTCCTTTCCTTATGTAGACCCATGTTTCTGACCTACATCCTTGTTCCTCCTGAAGAACTGTTAACATTTCTTGCAAGGCAGGTCTGCTGGCAACAGTTTCCTTTTGTCTGAGAAAGTATTTCCATTTCATTCTGAAGGCCAGCTTTGAAGAATACAGAAGTCTAGGGGTTTTTTTCCCCCCCAACACTTTGAATATTTTGCTTCACTCTCTTCTTGCTGGCATGGTTTCTGAAGGGAAGTTGGATGTGTTTTTATCCTGCTCCTCTCTGGGTAAGGTCCCCCCACCCCAGCTTTCAAGATTTTTTTTGTGTGTGTTTGATTTTCTACAGTTTGAATATACGTTCAGGTGTAGATGTTTTGGTGTTTATCCTGCTTGGTGTTCTGAGCTTCCTGGATTTGTTGTTTGGGGTCTGTCATGAATTTTGGAAAATTCTCAACTATTATTACCTCATATATTTTTTCTGTTCTTTTTGTTTCTTTCCTGGTGTTCCCATTACTCAAATGTTACACCTTCTGTAATTGTCTGCCAGTTCTTGCATATTCTCCTCCCCTTCTTTTCATTCTTTTTTTTTTTCTCTTTGCTTTTCCATTTGGAAAATTACTACTGACGTTTCTTAAACCTCACTGACTCTTTCCTTGTCCATGTCTAGTCTGCAGATGAGCCCATCAAAGCATTCTTCATTTCTATTTCAGTGTTTCTTATTTCTGGCATTTCCTTCTGATTCTTTCTTGGGGTTCCCATCTCTCTACTTATGTTACCCATGTGTTCTTGCATGGTGTCCACCTTTTCCACTAGAGCCCTTAGCCTATTTATCAAGGTTGTTTTAAATTCCCAGTCTGGTAATTCCAACCTCTCTGCCATGTCTGAGTCTGGTTCTGATGCTTGCTCTATCTCTTCAGAATGTATATTTCACCTTTCATCATACCTTGTAGTTTTTTGCTGAAAGCCAGGTAAGATGAATGAGATAGAGGAACTGAGGTAGACAGGTCTTCAGTGTGAGGTTTTATACTTGTCTGGTTAGGGGTCAGGCTGTGTTTACTCCTTCCAGCAGCTGTGGTGTCAGAGGCTAAAATTTCCTTTCATGTCCTTGCTTTTTGTCTTTGGGTTTCCCTAGAGATTCTCCTGTAATCCTCTAACTTGGCCTTGGTCTCAGTTAACCTGTGCGCCTGGCCTGTGACCTTCACATATGTTTCTCCCCCAACTCCTACCTCAGGAGGGACGGGAAAGTGGGAGGGGGCTACAGTTGAATATTTTCCTTCCCTCGGCCAGGTAGGCTCTGGCAAAATAGTTTTCCTTGAGAGCAGGCCTTTGTTAAGGAAAACAGAATGCTTAAGACATATTTCAAAATGGCTATTTCCCCCTCCTTTTGCTGGGAGATGGGGGTGGGGGAGGTTTCTCTGACCTTCACTGTGAGAACCTGGTGGGGTTCCTTAGGTCCTTCCTAAGACTGGCCTCCTGGACTTGTTAACTCTCAAGCCTGTCCACACTGAGTTACCAGTAGTCCATCAGCTATAGTTTAAGCCTTGCCCCCTGGCCGTGGTTCCTGGAGGTTCTGCTCTGGTACATTGTGAGTCTCTGTATCCACCTGTCTGTCTCTCCTAGTTTCAGGTCAGTGGTTTGCCCCGTGACCTTAGTTCTCTGATGGATCTGGGAAGAGTTGTTGCTCTTTGGTTTATTCAGCTTTTTCTCTTCTTGCGAGGACGGGTGAGGACTTCCAAGCTCTTTACACACAGACCAGAGACTGGAGGTACCGTCTCACATTTACTGAGTGTCTAGTAGAATAACAACCAGTGTTTGGTGACCTCTTAGCACGTACCAGAGACTATAAGCACTTAACCCAAGCAGCCCTCTGGTGTAGGTACTTTTATTATTAGCGAGGAGACCACGTAAGACCACGAGGTGGTTACCTTGACCAGAGTCACTTTGCGATAGAGGAGTGATGGAGCCCAGCCCGGCCTTCTGGCTCCAGGCCCCCCTTCCCAGCCACTTTGTGTGTGGGCCCTGGGCTGGGCTGGGCTGGGGAGCATGCAGTGAAGCAAACCCCCGTCCCTGTCCTGGTGGAACTTTTGGGTTGACAGGGGAGACAAGTTTTAGACTACATTAGTCACAATTTTCTCAACTACCATAAAGGAGTACTATGTATAATGGGAACTTGCCCTGATCAGAGAAGAGAACTGAGATTGACTTTCGCTTATTTTAAAATCATCACCTCATTTTGCAGGTGAAGAACTGGAAGTTCAGAGAGGTTAAGTGGCTTTCCTGATGCCACACAACCATTAGATGCATGGCCAGGATTGGAATGCAGGCCGTCTCAGGCCATACCACTGTGCAGTACGCTGGGGTGAGGGGTCGTTCTGGTGGACAGTAGGGGTGGTGGTGGTGACCTTGGCCAGCCCGACACTGTGGAGGGGAGGGGGTAGAGGTAGGATGGGTCCTTAGCCTCTGCCCCACTATATCTAGAGGTCAGGAATGCCTGCGCTTCCTTCCCATCACTGTCCCCTCCCAGCTTCCCTCTGCCTGTTCACGTAGCTGAGGAGGGGAGTGAGAAGAGCGGCAGTAGGACTGGCCAGGCGGGGGCTCCAGGACAGGAGGAAAAGCAGCAAGGCTGCTCTGGCTGGACAGGAGCGGAGGGAGAGGGGCCCGGGCCAGGCCACGCGGTGGGGCCCCAGCAGAGGTGGGAAGCGCAGGAGTGTTACCTGTGGAACCGGGCTGAGGTGCAGGTTGGGGGCGAGGAGCCCAGGAGGGGTCCCCAGGGAGCGAGGGGATGGGCTTGAGACAGGATGGAGGTGACCTGGTGTTGGTGGCACCTGCAGAGTAGGGAAGGAGGGATGTGGGGACAGCTGGCGACAGGGGTGCACTGTCCAGGAAGGGGTCTCATGGGGTAGGCTCAGTTTGGGTCCTGATGTGGCCTTGCATGTGATGTCCAGGAGGTGGATGGACAGACAGGGCTGGGCTGGAGGGGTGGCCCCTGAGAGTGCCTGGGACAGGACCAGGCTGACCTTGGCGGGCAGGGCTGCAGTCCAGACCTCGGCAGGAGGATGGAGGGAGGGAAGAGGTCCACGGGCCACTCTCTGCAGTCCCAGAAGCTCTGCCTTCCCGACCTCTCCTCACGCTCCTGGGGAGGCGCCAAGAGACGCTCAGCTGGCCAGGCCTCTCACCCTCAGGCTCCTGGATCACAGTTCAGTGAAGGGACAACACCTGCTCCACAGTCCAAACTGAGCGCCAGTTCTGCCGGAAACCACCAGATGGTGCCATTTCCATGCAAAAACAGGTTTCCTGAAGGTGAAGCCTGTGTGCGACTCAGGGTTTAGATTTTATTGCCACTTGGGAAGCATGAGCAGACGGGAGGCCTTTGAGCATCTTAGTTTAATGATGACTACAGTGCACGTCCACATCCATGAACTATGGTAGGGCTACTGACTCAAATGAAGCGTCCTGAGCGTTTACGTGCAGCCGTGAGCGGCTCCCCAGGCGAACATTCTGTGGCGTCCTCAGGGGCTCAGGGTGGTGGAAGGCCGACAGGCACAGACATAACTCAGGGTTGTGTGAGCATAGACGGGAGAGCAGAGGAGGGAGTGGCCTCTGCTTGAGAGAAAGTGTGGACTTCCCTGAGAGGGGACATTTAGCAGAGGCTTCTCCAGGCTTCGGCAACGAGGAGGGGTCTTCTAGGCAGGGGACACCCCTGCGGGAAGGTGTGGAGGACAGTTAGGGACGTGGGCCTGGCCCTGAATGTTTGGAAGGCAGGTTGTGGTGGAGATCACAGCAGGAGAGGAGGCGGGTAGCCTACAGGTGTGTGCAAGAGAACCCCGTGGAACCTGCCAGGGTACCCGAGGAAAGGAGCCAGGCGTGCGTGCTGGCTGGGGGTGGGGGGCGGGCAGTGTGCCCTCGGCTCCAGCTTCAGGCACCTGGAGGAGCAGGGGCGCTGTAGCCCTCGGGAAGGAAGGGAGACCGCAGTCCTGGGCCCGGCTGGCCCGCCCTCTCGCTCAAGCACGTGGAGTGTGCGGAGCGAGGGACCTGCATTGGTGTTGTAGCCGCAGCTCCTCCAGACCCTGGGTGGAAATGAAATCATTAAGTGGCTCAGATGGAGTTTTGTTCTGTGCATGATTAACCCCAGGAGGGGAGTTTGGGAACAAATATGCCACCTCTACCTGTATTACGGGGGACTGAGCCACGGTAAATTAAAAGAAAATCACTGGCAAATTTGGGACCAGTCAGCTGTGACCAAGCCATTAGTGTAGTTAAATGAAGCTGAAAGAGCCAATAAAGGCTTTGTGGGTCATGGATCCTTCCGGGAGGGGAGGGTGGGGCGAGGGGGGGCAGGTGGGCGGGGAGTTGGTCCCCATGCTGCACATGGCGGCCTTCCCTGGGACTTGGCGGAGGTGCTGCTGGCAGTGGGATGTATGTTGTTTTCTAACGGGGAACTTAATTCTAGGAAGAGACAGGACCAAGACCCAGCCTTGGCCTCTGGTGTCTCAGAAGACAGACTGGGTCTCGGCAAAGTGGAGCCTTGGGACACGGACGTGGGAGCAGCACCTCCTGAGTCTGTCACCCAGAGTGAGGTGCGAGGGGCCCAGCGTCATGGGGACCCCCAGGACGGAGGCCTAGCCTGTGCCCTGGATGTCCACCGAGAGCTGGGGTGGCTCTGGTCCATGCCCAAAGGAGGGTGTTGGACGCCCAGCCAAACCAGGAGCTGAATGTGGGGCGCCAGACAGGGAGGGGATGGGCTCCCGCCTGTGCAGGCGAGTTCTGCA